GAAGCTTAGGTAAAGTCTTTTGTTTTCATGTCGTTTATCCTAATTTACTGTACATTGAAATGCATTACGTTTCAGCAAAACACTATTTATTTCTGAGAATATGGAAATGTAATATTTTGCTGAAATGACGAACGTATTACAGTGGAAAGTGACGAAAGCAATGACTTGCTTTCTTTCGTTCAAAAGATGTTACCGCAATCGCTTTTCGAATGGTTTTCTGTTTAAAAACTGTTGTATTACAATAATATTCTATCCTAATTCACTTGTGATGCAACAGTTTCTTTAACTGAAAACCATTCGAAAAGCGATTACGGTAACATCTTTTGAACGAAAGAAAGCGAAAGTCATTGTTTTCGTCACGATTTTATCCCACTTTCCACTGTAATACGTACGTCATTTCAGCAAAAATATTACATTTCCGTGAATGTAGTATATTAAGCACAGTATGAATAGAATATCATTGTAATATAACAGTATTTTAACCGAAAACTATTAAAAAAACGAGTAACATCTCTTGAACATTGGAAAGTTAGGTAAAGTCTTTTGTTTTCGTGATGTATTTTATCCTATTTTACATTGAAATACATCACGTTTCAGCAAAACTACTATTTATTTCTGAGAATATATTCATTCAGGCACAGTTTAGGTAAAATATACATGTGCTGTAACATTTTTTTAAATGAAAACGATTCGAAAAACACGTACCCTCTAGCCCTGTTCAAGGAGAAGACTGGGAGGAGCTGTTTTGTGCTTAAGACGATGACAAGGAAAATGATTTTGATGGATTTTAATGAAAATATTCAGAAAAACCCTGGCACTGTCAAGGAAAGTGGCTGCTGAAGGTTTCCAGGACATGGCAGAGGACGAGATTAGGGAGCTAAATGAAGAGCACGACACTGAGCTGACCGAGGAGGATCTAGAGGAGTTAGTAGACTCAGGCAAGGAAGAGGAAGCGAAAGGGAAAGAGGATGAGGAAGAGCACCAAGAAATAACGTTGGAGAAGTTGGGGGAGATGACCAGGAATATTGAGGCACTGAAAAACCTGGCCTATAGTATGGACCCCTCCATGGTGCGTGCCCTGAAATTCATGCGAGGGATGGATGACGTTTTTGCTCCATACAAAAACATCATGGAAGAAATGAAAAGAAAGAGACGACAACTCCCCATCACCATGTTCTTTGATCACCGAAGGAGAGATTTAACACTATCAATCACTGGCAGCAGTGAGGAAGCAGCTGAATCCACCGTCGCCCCCACTTCACCACCCGTTAAGGAATTGAGTGACGATGAGCCCGATGACCCCCGTCCTGTCGCCGAGGATAGGCACTGTACAGTAAAGTGAAATTTTTATCTCTTTTTTTTAATAGCTTTTCTTGCCATGTTTATTGTTTGTAAAAATGCACAGCACAGTACAGTTCAGTACTGTACATAGGAAGTGGAGGTGCAGTTGTTCACAAAACATTTGTGTTTGTTGTTGGCAGTAGTGACGGTGAGGAGGTGGAGGGGTGGAGGAGGCGGAGAGGGAGCGGAGGGAGCGAGCTGGGAGGAGTGGTGACCTTGGACGCGGGAGGAGGGACGAGTGGAGATGCCAGCCAGTACGTTACGGGTGTATTAATTGTTTTTATAGCTATTTTTGCATTTCAATAATAAATACTATACATTACGTTTCAACGAAACTACCATTTATTTCTGAGAACATGGAAATGTAATATTTTTGCTGAAATGATGTACGTATTACAGTGGAAAGTGTGATAAAATTGTGACGAAAGCAATGACTTTCTCTTTCTTTCGTTCAAAAGATGTTACCGTATTCGCTTTTCGAATGGTTTTCAGTTGTGGGATTATAAGGCTAATGATAGGATAGAATATTATTGTAATACAGTACGAGTACAACAGTTTTTTAGCTGAAAACCATTCAATAAGCGATTACGGTAAAATCTTTTGAATAATGAAAGAAAGCGAAAGTCATTGTTTTCGTCTTGATTTTATCCCACTTTCCACTGTAACATGTACATCATTCCAGCAAAAATATTATATTTCCATATTTATTTCTGAGAATACGTATATTCAATCAGTCACAGTTAAGGTAAAATATACTTGTGATGTAATATTTTAATGAAACTACGGTATCGTAGTTTTCTTTTGTTTCAAATTTAATTAACAAAGATTGATGTTTCAAATGTAATTAACAAAAATTTATGTCCAGTATCTATAAATAAACTTTAATAAATGAATACTTAATGTTTTACATCGTCCTGTGCTACCATACCATGGATTTGGCTACTTTGGGCTTGCTATGATGACGCAAGAGATCTGCCCTGGCAACTATACCGACACTCACAGCTGGTGGTGCGTTGGTGCATCGTTTCCATTGTTTACTGATAGTTACTGGTAAATATTTTTCAACCTAACGAAACTATTACCCGTTTAGAGGTCAACCCCCAATTTTTTGCCAAATAATTTGGTCTTAAAAACTCGAAATACACACACAGGTATATACGGTAAATAAGGAAATGGGGGGCCAGGTTTTTTTTGGGGAGGTGAAAATACGCGGATTTTTATCCTCCACGGGTATCTCTGTTACATAACCCCCGTGTATGTTAAGGGCCGACTGTATATCGAACATTCGTATAGTGAGGGATACCTGTATTGGACTTAGTAAGGAGTGGTCTATCAAACTCTGAAGCTGTGGGTCAGTTACCTTAGTAAAATGATTGATTGATTGATTGATTGTGGTAATAACATCCCTGGCGGTGCAACAGCTTAGGTTATATGTCGCCGAATTAAAATAAAAGCTTAGAAGACTAAAACCAAATAGTGCAAGGTAAAAAGCATTAATAATAAATAGCACAAAACTTTTGTAAAATTCATTTAAAGTTAATAGATAAAAATCCAAGATTGTGTAGAAGACCGGCTTCCTCCATGAAAGAGAGGATGTCCCACCCCTCCCGGCACTGAGAGAGGTGCTAACAATGAAGATCCACAGGGGTAGATCCAGGGGGGTGGGGGTCCTTGGGGTCCGGACCCACCTTTTCATTAGACAATTCCAATACTCTTTGCATTGTATTGTATTCAGGCATTTTTGTATATCAAGAAGCAATTACAATTGACCTCAGAATATTTTCTAATATCAAGTGCACCTGGCTTCAAAATGGCCATGATATTGGTCATATTTCAAAAGGAAATTCTGGGGGGGCTCACAGCGCCCCCGCAATGTCCCCCCTGGGTGGGGTAACTATGCTCGCCATGTTCCCCCACTCACAACTTCTTGGACTCCCCCCTTTTGATATTCCTGGATTTGCCTCTGCTCCACCAGGTGTTGAACAGTCAATGGGACCAGGCAATGATAACAATGGTGAGGGAGTGCCCTATCCATTAAAAAACCATGTGTCAGTAGTGTGGGACAAAGCAGTCTCCCAGCACGACAATCCCTGATATCCCCCGGCACCCAAACTAAGGTGTATGTGGTAGAGCTTGTTTGCTCCAACAGCTTCATGTAAAAAAGGGGTTATACTGTATAAAGGGGGAACCCGAATATATGCGAATTCACACTTACGCAGGGATGCAAGGAATGTAACCCTCGTATACTCTGAGACCCAACTGTATACAGTAATCGTTCCATTAGATGGAATCTTCAGTTCCTGGAACTCTCCAATAGCCTAAATAAATTTTTATCCTTTCAGGAAATACCAAGAAAACTATTTCCATTCCGGGCATGGGAACGAATTTTCTGGGAGTTTCGAGAAATTGCATCATGCTCCGACGTGTCTCCACATGCCAGGTGCATGGGTGACCCTATCTGCTTGGGTAACTTGGGCCACAGGCTCATGTGCTTCGTTCATATTCTGCTGCCATTATACAAGGTTGTTACCTCACTTGCTGCTGATTTTGCTTACAATTTGTATTGTACAGTACAGAACAGTGTACTGTACGGTACTAAGTAATGTATGAGTACACCGCTACCACCTGAAAAAGTTTACGGATTATTTCACAGTATGTTCTTATCAATACTAATGGGCAGTGCATGAAGGAAGAGGGAAATTACAGAGTAAAAACAAGGCACACACTAATAATGAATGCAGAGAAATATCAAAACCTGACCTAACCTCCCAACCTAAGCCAAAATATAACAAAGCTTACCTTAATATTGAGGTGGATATAACATTGGAAGACGCAGTGCGCGGGAACTGAACCACTGTAATGTCAGACAGCCATTAGACCTGTGGCTCCATATTTGACAGTGAAAAATTTATTTCTTCATGTTCAGAAGTCGTAGAGGCTTGAAAATAATGCCATTGTATCAGTTTTTTTAAACGTTTTTACCCCATAATTTCCCTCTTCTTTCATTCCCTGCCCATTAACAAGTGATTTATATCGGAGATATAGGAAAAAAATATATTGTCACTCCTTCTGAACTAGTTACAATCACCAAAATAACAAGTAAGTATAGTAACAACAAAGGAAATCCATAAACGTTTATCTTGGGGTAGCGGTTTCCTCATAAATTACCCTGTACTGTAACCAAGAATAGTGTTAAAGCAGTGCTAAGATGTAAAAACTGATAATAGTTACATATACTGTACTGTACATTCAGTAAGTGTGAAAGTACTGTACATACAGTACAGGAATCCGCCGTTTAGTGATCGTTCACTTAGCGATAATTCAGTTTAGCGATTTAAAATTTCTAACACCCTTGGTTATTTAATGTTCTGTAATTGTTCAGTTTAGCGATCTTCGACTAATGGGGAAACATTATACTTTCAAGGCCAACACTAAACCACTTGGAAAGGGGGCTGCTAATTAAGATACTACCTATGAATCAGCCAACCTGAAGTTTTAGAAATGATTTGCACATTTCCAGGATGTACTGTACTGCTGACCAGTTGTGAGAGGCATTGCAAACTCTATCATAAGAATAGTATTTGAGAAGAACTGAGTTTTGTCTCTTCTCCTTTTACAGCTTTCTAACTTCCAGCATTCTTTATTGAGACACAACTTACGTATTATCATCCAGCTTCTTCTTAATGGCTGAGAGATCCATGGGCTTCTTGATGATTTTTTTGTAGGTTGGAAATTGCCGAGTGTTAACAGGCAACAGAAATGGCCAGGCATCTTCATGAACCTCCAACTCCGATATAATACTTTTACATGCTATTAAGTCCTTCTGTTCTTTCTGTAGAGAGAGAAAATAAAATGTTTTAAAGTATTTGCTAATTTAATTTTTATGTATTAATGCTGTTTATCTGAAAGGTTAACTGTCTGGCATGTGTACAGTATACTGTACTATCATACATTTTTCCTACAGTAAAAGGAGTTTACAGCTACATAAACCCTTGTATAATATCCAAACAAATTACCCCTGAGGGAGTTATGGTCTTTTTACAAAGATTCACAATAAATGTCTAGCAGAATGGAAAGATGACAGAATTTGGAATAAACTTATTGAAAGAGAAACATATTTACAGGATTTTGAAAGGGGATAAGGATCAGGAAGCCCATGGCTTACAGTGTACATGATATAATAAAAACAGGGGAAAAACAATGGTGAATTTCAGTATGAAATGAATATAAAGGTAATTATTTTAATATCAGATAAATGAAGGTTTTTTACCTAAAATCACTTTGAACTGACCAAGACATATTTGGAGTCCGTCTACAATACTTGTCAACAACCAGGTCCTAATAGCGACACCCACCCACCCACCCACCCACCCACCCACACACACACACACACACACACACACACACACACACACACACACACACACACACAGTAGTACCCCGATTTACACGGTCAATTGAACCCACAGGGTACCGCGGAAAGTGAAAAATGACGCTGTTTACACGATTGTGCATGTCGTCTGAACGTTGGCGGGCCATTCAAACCCGTCGAAATTCGAATTTCCGCCGTCAAAATTTTAAATTATGTAGTGTTTTTTTTGTGTCCAAATAAAAAACGGTGAATTAAAAACTCGTAAAATTTGAGAAGCTACTGTACGACATTAAACCCTTCAATATGTCTTCAAAGAGACCACGAAGCAGTGAAAGTGGTGCTAACTTAAGTGCATGTCACTATCTGTCCAGGAAAAGGGTGAATTTCCATGGTCTGAAATTTCATGGTCCGGCACCGTCAGTCCCGAGGTTGCCGGACTAGAGGTAGATCTATATTCATTCATCTATCTATCTATCTATCTATCTATTCATTCTTATCATTCATCTATCTATCTATCTATCTATCTATCTATCTATCTATCTATCTATCTATCTATCTATCTATCTATCTATCTATATATATATATATATATATATATATATATATATATATATATATATATATATATATATATATATATATATATATATATATATATACACAGTGGTGCCTTGGTTAACGAACACAATTCGTTCCACAGAGTCGTTCGTTAACCGAAAATTTCGTTAACCGAATCCCTTATTTCAATGGGATATTGGGTAATTGGTTCCAGCTCACAGAAAAGTACATACAAAGTATAAACAAAATGCAATAAAGTACACTTACTTTGAGGTGTGTATGTAGAAGGCTCCTGGTTGATGATGATGATGGGAATTAGAAGTGGGGTGGAGGAGAAGGGAGAAGAGAAGGAAGTGGGGATGGAGGAGAAATCACCTTTCAGAGCATTAACATTCAGTGGGGACTTACTGTATATACTGTTAACAATGAAGTTGAAGTGGGCCAAAGTGATATCAAAGAACTGTTGTAAGTACTGGGTGCTTTTTAATCCCAAATACATTTCTACAGCACATGAGATACTGTTTTTATTACATTTACAGGTCATGATACTCTAATGTTTACCAAAAATACAAAGCTGAAACACTATGACTATGAATGTCTTCGTATCTCTCATCTTTCATTCCTTACTCACCTTGTCTGTCAGTAAGCACCCAGGCATCATGATGTTGCTGCTGGCATGTATTATTCTTCTTACATTTTATTAAGAAGAAGAAGGAAAAAATGTAGGTAAGTACACCTAAGTGTAGCATTCTAACCTTTTTATTGGCACGCTCCTTTTTGGATGTAGTGGCAGGAGAAATGACACCTTGAGAATCCTCAAGGACATCTGCTGTGGCATCTGTTGATGCATTTGTATTGGCAGAAACAGAAGAATTGTTACTCTCGCTGACTTTCTTTGCTCTTCCTCGTCTTCCTCTTGGACTTTTACTTGTGCATGCAGGACAGACCCATTTGTTTCGTGGTACCTGTTAATGGGTGCACAATGAAGAGTTATTAGATAATGAGATTCTACTCCACCTTGTATATTTTCATCATTAGGCCCCTGATTTATTCACTCAATTTATAAATTCTGAGAATACAATTTTAAGCACAGATTTTCTCTATGTACAGTCATGCGCCGGTTAACGTCCGACTGAACAATGTCCGATCGCATATACGTCCGTGCCCCCCAAAAAAAAAACGTGACGCCTGTTGGACCACCACTCCACGACCCCCTGACGGAGACACGATGATCCTCCCCATACTGGTCAGATATTAAGTGTTAAAGGAATATGCTTCCTTACAAAGGCTTTTCTAAGCATTTGCCTACAGGTGAAATGTTAACCTACATCTAATGAGGATAAAATCTTTCACCTACAAATTGACAATAACACATTTGCTGTAATCAGACATATCTAGTTGCCTCAACAATTGCAAGTTGCAATTGGGGTTGCAATTTCAAATTCTGTGGCATTACTAAAAATAGTAAAGTTTCTGGTGCACTCTAAGATTAAGAGAGAAAACGGAGGACTCAGGCGTCCTGATGTGAGAGAAAACGGACTCGTATGATGGGGGACCAAATAAAAAAAGCATAGCTACATGTTTTGTGGACTACAGTATTAAGCGTACCCTTTTCATCACTTTGTAATAAACCTAGCCATGCCTATGTGTGTTTATGATATTTACCATAGCATTATATATATATTTAGTGGGTCTAAATGGTCATAAAATGGGAAACTTGGGGTTGGGTCTTGGGTGCCTGGAACCAATTAGAATAAATCCCATAGGTTCTGTACTTTCGTTATCGGCGGGGTCCCAATTAGGCGCGATAACCAAGGGATGACTGTGTATACTTGTGACACTGGCCAGTTGCTTCTGGTGTTATGGTACAGGGGTACCAAGTGACAGCACTAGGATCCCGCTTCCTCTATCAAGGAATAAACAATTAAAATTTTAATTGAAAAAAAAAAAAAAAATCAAATAAATTACTATCTTACAAGAATCCCTCCAATGTAAGTTATATTCACCCAGGTTGTTTGGGTGGCAAATTATGAGAAGAGCTTAGTCACTCTTAAGTAATGATAAATAAACACGCAGGCAGGCCTTCAGTGCCAACTGTCAAATCTTATCTCAAATAAATAAACAAACAAACGCCAGAAATTCTGTCACCTCACCTCCCGCCCCCTTCCCCACCACCCTCGTGTTCAAGATAAAAGATTGGTGATTTCTTTATGTTTATTTTATGTAATATCTCAGACTAAAGTTACGATAATATAATTTGCATTGCTGAAATCCTTGCAAGACAGAGATTAATATGAATAAAAACGTCATATATTTTGCTCAAGATATAAAAATGTAGTACATTAGTGAACAATACTGTAGTACATTTTATAAAAAGTTTTTCAACAGTATTTTTGGGTAGATTTACATAAATTTCTTCATTTATTTTCACCCATTTACATTCATGCACCATACTAAAATAAACGTAAAATAAATTAGTGCAAAGCTAGACTGCACATGTACTAATTTGATTACGGAACTAAAATTGTTTTGTCTTGTGTGAATTCCAACATGTTTATATTCAAATAAATCAGTATCTTACAAGAATCCCAGCTATGTTAAATATATTTCTAGGTCATATCACTGGCATTTTAAAATGAGAGAAGCTTAGTAGGACTGTTAAATAAACACACAGAGACCTTCGCCTCAAACTTATCACCTCTACCCCCAACCCCTCGCTGGGTGGTGGAGCCGTCAGTCCCCCCCCACCCACCCCCAGCCAGGCTTTTAGGCTTACATTTTTTACCTTATATAACATCTCAGACTAAAGTTAGGAGATTATAATTTGCATTGCTGGAATCCTTGCAAGACAGCCAATAATTTGAATATAAACGTCATATATTTTGCTCAAGAGATAAAAATTGTTGTACATAAGTGTACAGTACTGTAATACATTTTATAAAAAAGTTTTTCAACTGTATTTTTGGGTAGATTTACATAGATTTCTTAGGGCAAAGCTGGAGTGCACATGTACTAATTTGATTACAGTATTAAAATTGTTTTGTCTAGTGCAAATTATAGCATGTTTATATTCAAATTAATCAGTATGTTACAAGAATCCCAGCTATGTTAATTATATTCACCCAGGTCATTTTACTGGCTTTTTATAAGAGAGAAGCTTTGTCACTTAAGAACTGATAAATATACACGCGTTAGACATGGGCCTGTGCCAACTGTCAAACGTACTACCTCCCCTCCCCCCACGCCCCCTCACTCGCTCCCACCCTCTCTCTCCCCCATCTGCCCGGCGTTGCTGGAATCCTTTTAAAACAGTGAATAATTGTAATATAAATGTCATGTATTTTGCACAAGAGATAAAAATTAATCACCTGTATCACATTACAGTAGTGATTTAAGAGTAAAAGTGTATATGTACGTATATAGTATTCCACATACACGTAAGTATAAATAAAAAGTTTATGTGAAGATCGGACAACGTCCATTTCCATTAACACCACGTTTCCAAGAACGTATCTAGGACGTTAACCGGCGCATGACTGCATATATATATCAACCATAATCACTTAGCAACTACCTGTATGTAGGAAGTGAATAAAGACCCAGGCAAAGGGAAAAAAGAAAGTACTGTGCAATTTATATTAATTTTACTTTAAAGATAGTTTAAAAAATACTTTATATATTATGCATTCTATTTTGTGTTAGTGTGAGTTTGAAGATTGGCCAGATTTATAATTAGTTTTCAAAGTTTGTTTTATTTGAATTGAACAAGGGTATCTGTCTAGCTAACAAAATACTTGCCATGCAACTTGGGGAGAGGTTGTGAGAATTGACCTCAGAGATAGTACCTCCCTGATACAAGAGGATGCAAGAAACTGTGTAACTTTGGAAGCTGTCATCTGGTAGGCATGACTAACCCACCCAATTATGGAAAATGGCTGTAAAATGGCAATCATGATTATGATTATATGATCATCATTTTTATCAATGTTTTATTGCAATTTTCCGTGCTTGTGTGAGTTAGCTACAATTAAATGATGGCAGCTGTTGAGTAAATGAAGAATGGGATCCCCCCCCCCTCCCACCAACCCAGAGACTGCAGCAAAGTTCAGGGAATGGGCATAGCTCTGGTGATCCAGTTGGCATCAGGCATAATGAAGCAAAGTTTTACGGCTGGATGTCCTTCCTAATGCCAACCCAAAGTGTGGGAGCTGCAACCCCAGGGTTCAGCTCCCTGGGATAATTAAAGAATACCCACCTCCCTTTATATATTTTAATGATCATGATGTGATGGTGATTATATTATATATTTTAATAATCATGAAAATTTTCCTATGTAGCTTTCGTCTTAGCCCATTTTTATATTTTATTGTACTGCCTTTATTTACAAGACCTATGCAAGCTAGTACAACTCCTGTTTATTTATTTGTGGTAACATTTGATCTTTATATTCTAGGTGAATCATTTATTAAGGCCTTAAACATGCCCCTAGAAAGTTTTAAATGAGTACATGAAGTAAATCTGCTGTAAAGTGAAAGAAAACAGTGATGACACTCAGTGAAAAATTACAATTATTAGAAAGATTAAAATTGCCATCATCAACATCCTAACATTCTATCATCAGTGGTGAGTTCAAGTACAGAGTACAGGTATAGTTTATATACATATATATTTTTTAAGACAGTACAATACATCATAATTTCATTTTATAATGTTTATATTATACAGTACACTAGGCATCATACAGGATATCTTTATTGTCTTTTATTATAGTTTAAATTTAGTAAAATTTAATTTTCCCCTTTATCGACATTGGTGTAGCCACTAACCCCATTTTCCCCACTAGGTTTAACCACTGTGGTGCTATAATAGTCCATGTTCTGAATTATGCAATCCTGTGTGAGCCAATAATACCCTTTTGAAAACCTCTCATGTTCCACACGCCAGTTACAATTCAGCTATGATAGTGGATAGTAGCACATCAATGTAATAATGAGTGACAGATTGGTGTAAACATTTGTTAACATACTGCCTTATAGACATACAGTATCAGGGTAAGTATTCTTTCTCTATTTTTATTGTAGATTTACATATTCAACTATTATTTCAAAGTATGTTTTATTAATCTCAAAGACCTTATTGTGTGTGCACTTCAAAGGTTAAGTATTAACATCGACAGTTTTGACATTCACAGCACTTAGACAGAACTGCCTAACCAATCAAATTATTATTCCTAACTACAAGCACTACACAACCTGCATTCAAGAATATGAGAATATATATTGGCACAAACCTTGGCTAGGTTAGGAGTTATACAGGCGGTGTGATATGCTCTGGGACAAATAGAACAGTGAACTAAAGTTCGCCCTTCTGTCCCTCCACACACTAAACAGTGCCGCTGTGAAGTATCACTGAACTTATTCACACACTCATAACAATACCTGGAAAAAATAAACAAAAACAAAAATATTCATAAACATAGTTTAAGAATGAGTGGTGTTACTAAAAAAACCAAAAGAGAACTTAAATATTTGTATGGTCAAATTTCTTCATTGAATAACAAACAAAGAATTGTTGTAAAAAAATACTGTAGGGTGATAAATAATTGTTGTCAAGTAAATCATATAAGACCATAGGTCTTAAAAATTGGACAAATTGCAAGGTGTATTAAATCAATGACACAATCTTGTTACAGTAAAGGGTATCTCATAAGCTGTGTACCATAGGAAAAATATAGTACACTACTACGGCCAATTTTCAAATATTTCACCATCTACTTCAAAACACACGTTGACTCTATGTGAACAAGATGCTTCAACTTACATTAGCATATCTCTGGTAATCTTGATGCATTCAGATATGATGACAGATTTTAGGTGTTGTTGATTAAATTCTTTTGTAACTGATCACAGTGTAGCATCTGGCTCTATGTGTACATAAATATCAAGCTGACTCTTTCCTTTAGTGTTAAATTTCTAAGCCATTTTTAATGATTTGTCATGATTCCTATGGTCTCCTATGGTGGTAACTTAAGAGACACCCTGTAGACGTTTAGGGTGATATGAACAACTTACATAACAAGTGCTAATACACGAGAAGAACAAGGAAGATCTTCCAGGGAAAGGAAATAGATGATCAAAGATTTAATCTCAAAAAGGGCTAGCAGGAAATGAGGTAAGTTTATGCATCATCTATTCAAATGTAAGATTCATAATATACCTAACAAAAAGAAACTGAGCAGTGTGTTACAAGACTATGGTGCGAGAACAAAGATATGTGAGGCACACTGAAAGGAGTTCTATAAAATAGGTTCATTATGAGATATACTTACAGGTAACAATGACAGGCAGGTTAAAGACTCTTATTGGAGGAAAACACATTTAACACAGAGATATGGCACTACATTTTTAACTTGTACCTTTACAAGCAACAAATTAAATAAATACAATAGCATGGAACTTACCAGTCACCATCAGGAATGTTGTTCATGGGTGGTTTAAAGCAGTGGGTGTGATAACCCTTGTCACAGCCATCACAGAGAAGCAGCTTCTCCTCATGGTCTCCACTATGGCAGAACTGGCAGTACTGTCCAGATGAAAAGAGTGAATCACTTGATGTTTCCTATAATTGGGAAGGACAAGTACTGACTATAAAGAGCAGTGGTAAGTTTTATGAAACTACAGTATTTATCATCATCATCTGCACTTTCCCCCACAGTCAAAGTAAAGTGGTTATCATATAACAGTTTTGAGTGACACACAATGCCTTTAATTAAGAAATGAGCTGTTTGAATTTAACCTTCTATTCTTAAAGATGAAACATTATCAATCTTACATACCATTTACATATGGGAAACAGGTGCACTGTGCTTTACAAAGATCTTAATAATACAGTATATATATATATATATATATATATATATATATATATATATATATATATATATATATATATATATATATATATATATATATATATATATATATATATATATATATATATATATATATACATACAGGGGTACATATATACACAGTATAAAAAATAGTGTAAATGTAAAAGAGGTTACAGGGTAAACGCATTAAGTACAAGAAAGCTTTCAGTAAAACTGACTTCATTTACACTAACCCATTCTGAGATCAACAGAGTGAATCACTGATGGTGAATAATGCTTGAATAATTATCTTTTAGCATTGCTCCCTATGATGTTTGACCATCTTGATTTTATCTCCACTTATAATTTCACTTCATGCATTATCCATACATAATATACACTTAAATTTCCCAATAATTGACAATATTCAAAGCATTAAAATTTCAAGATGGTAAATACTATTAAAATTCCAGTAAACAAACTAGCACCATACTGTGTACAAATACTCACAGCTTTCATTATACTCTTATCCCAAGCAACTGCTGTTTCCAACATATATGTACACATTGCTAGTTGAGCAGCAGTTTCAGATTTGCTTACTGCTTCTCTCCATATCTGTAAACCCTTTGGTGATTCCTTTGTCTCCTGTGTGCACCCTTCATTCTTTGGGTTGGGTGGCACTCCTAAAAAAAATAATATTACCAATAATTATCAGCTACACACAGAAAAAAGTTGCATTTAAGGTGGTCAAAATATACTGATATAACTCCTTTCAATTTTTATGAAAAATGAAGGACTAAAGGTTGACTCCATTCATTATCAAGGAGATGAAGTGAGTGACTTGCACGATTCACACAGCTGAAGGAAGGCCAGACCTCAGAGTCTTGTTCTCTATAAACCAAGACATAGCTGGTGTTGTTGAGTCTCACCGGCAGTTACCACTGGGTACCTGGGACCTCACTGTGTGAAGGTTAGCTTGGGTACGATTCAGCTGTTACTGTTGAGTAGTTTTACACTGACTTAAGCACTGTTCACCACTATTCAACACTGGTTCCATTCCTTTCCTAAATGAAATAATAACTTCTGGTGAGAACTTGTTGATATCAAGGTGGGGAGGAGGGTTCAGGAGAGGGAGTTGGTATGGGCCAACATAACAGTTGACCTGACTGCTGCCAGACCAGCGCCAGGTACGTCTTGACCCTTTGGTGGTCAACAAGCAAGTATGTTAGCCTGTCTGAAGAAAGTGAGCTTGCTGACCCACCCAGCCCTGTCTCCTCCTCTGCTTCATCCAATCAATGTAGTCTACATGCATAATTAAAAAATTATTGAGGCCCTGTGTGCATTCAGCTGACTACATTAAAGGAAAGTGCACAGTAACACTTTATTCATTTTTCAATATTGATTACAGTAATACCCCGATTTACACGGTTTCACTTTACGCGATTCTACATTTACGCGGTACCAAGCCAAAACCGGAATTTCGTTTTACGCGGGTGAAGTATAATTTTTTATTTAGCTCATAAAACTCATACAAATTACCTGGCCAGAATATAATTTACATTGCTGGAATTCTTACAATATGATGATCATTTTGCATATAAACATCATGGATTTTGCATTAGACATAAAAATTTTAGATCTAATGTAATAATTTGGTTTGCACAAAGCAAATATTTTATCTTTTGTTTAAAATATATGAAGTTTACATTCAAAATATTCCCTGACCTGCAAGGAATCCAGAAATGCCAATTATATTATCCTAACTTTAGTCTGAGGTATTATTTTTTACCATGCCTTAAAATCTAGTGTTTTCACCTAAACATTTCTCAGAGAGGTAGGAGCCAGTGAGCTGGGAAGAGGGGGGGGGGGGAGTTGAGTCCATTATTTGAATTGACATTAACCTGGCGACTGTATTTCTCTTAAATATTAATTGTGTGTGCATACCATCATAAAATTAAGATGTTATTTTTACTACAACACAGGTATTGTGTCGGAAAAAGTGGAGTTTGGGGGTCGGCCCGGTCTCTATTTCAATTAATCCCATATGTTATGTTGTTCACTTTACGTGTTTCTCGCTTTACGCGGGCTCCGTGGGTTCAATTGACCGCGTAAAGTGAGGGTTCACTGTACTTTAACTGTACTGTATTTCATTTTAGAATTTCTATGTATTATTTTCGCTTTTTCGACTTGCGACCAATTCAAGTTACGACCTGGTCGTTGGGATGGAACCCCGTCGTAAGTTGAGGAGACACTGTATTGTATAATAATAAATTAAAAACAATATTATACTATATTTTAACTTACTTTGAGGTGTGTATGTCATATTCCCGGCAGCTTTGTTTACATATCAAACAGCTGATTGTAGAGGCAGTCGATGATGACATGCCATATTCTTTACAGAGTGCATTGGTTCTAATGCCTTCTTCATGTTTCATAATAATTTCTGCACTTTATATTATCAATACGAGAACTTAATTTCAGAATGACCAATAATTTGAATGTAAAAATGCAAAAATATTCTAGAGACCAACAAACTGGATGTTTACTCCACTGTAAACAAAGCTAAACTGAGAAGTGTTGGTGGGTGATTCGATCAGCTGATTGGCACACAAAAACTGTTCCCTGTACTGTATATATGATCAATATGTTAACTAAATTAGAATGAACAATAATTTTAATATAAAAAATGCAAAAATATTCAGGAGCACAACTTTCTTGATATTTACTCCACTGGAAACGAATGTAAACATAGAACCAATTACTGTACAGTTGTACCCCACTTAACGCGGTCAATTGAACCCAGAGGGTCCCGCATTAAGTGAAATCCGCGTTAAGTGAACAACAGAACATATGGGATTAATTCCAATAGAAACCGGCCTGACCCCCAAACTCCACTTTTTGAAGGCACATACCTATGTTGTAGTACAAATAACATCTTAATTTTATGATGGTACATGCACACAATTAATACTTAAGAGAAATACAGTCGCCAAGTTAATGTCCATTCAAATAATGGACTCAACTCCCTCCCCCTCTCACACTACACTGCTTGGGGGAAAACCACTAAATTTTAATAAATAATACCTCAAACTAAAGTTAGGATAATACAATTGACATTGCTGGATTCCTTGTAAGACCAGGAATATTTTGAATATAAATGTCATATATTTTGCACAAAAGATAACATAGTTACCTAGAGAAAAATTTTTATCTAAAAATTGTATGTTTAATGCAAAATATATGATGTTTATATTCAAAATGATCACCAAATTATAAGAATTCCAGCAATGTAAATTATATTCTGACCGGGTAATTTGTATGAATTTTATGAGCTAAAACAAATATCTTCAGTTAATAAAAAAAAAAATAATCTTCACGACACTATCTGTCAATCAAAGTACCCCACCTTGCCTCCCCCCCTCTTCCAACCGCGCGGTCAGTCCCAACCCTCCCCCCCACCCCCCACCAATCCTCCCTTCCAGAGTTTTTAACATTTAGTATTAAATAATACCTCAGATTAAAGTTAGGATAATATAATTGACATTGCTGGATTCCTTGTAAGACCAGGAATATTTTGAATATAAATGTCATATATTTTGCACAAAAGATAACATAGTTACCTAGAGAAAAAATTTTATCTAAAAATTGTATGTTTAATGCAAAATATATGATGTTTATATTCAAAATGATCACCAAATTATAAGAATTCCAGCAATGTAAATTATATTCTGACCGGGTAATTTGTATGAATTTTATGAGCTAAAACAAATATCTTCAGTTAATAAAAAAAAAAATAATTCTTCACAGGGTAACAGATGGTCGGTCGGTCCCTCCCTCCCCCCCACCCCCCACCAACCGTCCCAAGGAGATGTGTGGGATAACCACTAAATTTTAATAAATAATACCTCAAACTAAAGTTAGGATAATATAATTGACATTGCTGGATTCCTTGTAAGACCAGGAATATTTTGAATATAAATGTCATATATTTTGCACAAAAGATAACATAGTTACCTAGAGAAAAATTTTTATCTAAAAATTGTATGTTTAATGCAAAATATATGATGTTTATATTCAAAATGATCACCAAATTATAAGAATTCCAGCAATGTAAATTATATTCTGGCCTGGTAATTTGTATGAATTTTATGAGCTAAGACAGGCAGTCAGGCAGGGTGGCGGGTGGGGCAAATCTAAAAATAGCTTCTCGAGCCGGACACTCACCGCGTATATGTGGAAAAAATCCGTGTTAAGTGAAAGTTCAGCTCTGGCGAGGCACCGCGTATATGATAAAACGCGTTAAGTGAAACCGCGTTAGGTGGGGTAATACTGTATTGGCGGACTAGCGGATCAGCTGATGTGCACAGCAGAGTGTGTTTCTCGTAAGGCTTTCGTTAATAGAAGTTTTGTTCGTTAATGGAATTGAAAATCCTTATGGGAGCTAATTTGTTAACCGAAATTTTGTTAATTGGACCATTCGTTAATCAAGGGACCACTGTATATATATATATATATATATATATATATATATATATATATATATATATATATATATATATATATATATATATATATATATATATATATATATATATATATAGTACATACATACATACATACATACATACATACATACATACATACATACATACATACATATATATATATATATATATATATATATATATATATATATATATATATATATATATATATATATATATATATATATATATATACAGGTTGTACCTCTCTAGTCCGGCAACCTCGGGACCTGACCGGTGCCGGACCATGGAAATTGCCGGACCATGGGAATTCACCCTTTTCCTGGATAGATAGTGACTTGTACTTATGCTTGGAAGCACTAGCACCACTTTCTCTGCATCATGGTCTCTTTGAAGACATATTGAAGGGTTAAATGTCGTATAGTAGCTTCTCAAATTTCGCAAGTTTTTAATTCTTAACTTATTTTATTGGAACACACAAAAAAATAAATAAATAAAAATTTTGACAGCGGAAACTTGAATTTCGACGGGTTTGAACGGCCCGCCAAGGTGCAGTCAACGTGCATAATCGTGTAAGCATAGTCATTTCTCTTATGTGCAAAAGATTCATTATTGTTTATTACTGAATGTCTTTTTTATTGAATTATTGTTTATGTGTGCAAAATGAGCAATACAATTCATTAATAATACGTAGAATATTAAAACACACGAGGAAATGACACAGCATTGTTTTCGTTGATTACAAAACCAGTGACTGACTGGTTCTACATATAAAACTGAAGAAATTAAGACCTTGGCTGTAGCTGTAGTAAAATTAATATGGTCATTACTTTACATAAGAATATGAAAGCAACACTTATTTACTGTTCATATATACAGTATTACCCCGCTTTACGCGGTTTCACTTAACGCGATTTCTCATATACGCGGTGCCTCGCCAGAACCGAACTTTCACTTAACGCGGTTCATCTACTCATATACGCGGTGAAGTATAATATTTTTTTTTTTTATTTAGCTCATAAAATTCATACAAATTACCCGGCCAGAATAAAATTTACATTGTTGGAATTCTTACAATATGATGATCATTTTGAATATAAACATCATAGATTTTGCATTAGACATACAAATTTTAGATATAATGTTTACTCTGAGTAAATATGTTATCTTTTGTGCAA